TTTTGTATTTTTTGCTAATTAGTTCTCATCGCAATCTACCAATTGCTGATTCAAATTTTAGCTATTTTATGCTATACAAACGACGAGGAAAATGTGTCATTTTCTCTCATGCTAATTTCGATACGCAGAGAGAGCAGTAAATAGTGTCTATTGCCTGTTATGGGCGGAGCTTAAAGTTGACTAGGGGTGGGTACCTGAAATGGGGAGAGTGGTCTGAACAGGAAAGACATGAATATTTAAGACTATCTTTTTGTCTAGTTCCTGGTAGCCAAGCGGAATGGCCAACTGCAAGGTTACTACGGATTCGTGGGTTCACGTCCACTTCTAGGCAGCAACTCTCTTGGCGTCTCGCTAGCCCCTTCCAGTTGGACTGGTCAACCAACAAGGTGGCAAAGTGACGCAAGGTCCACCCAAGACAAACGAGACCAGATATGTTCTACACTACCGAGTCTACTCCGACAAAAACCAACAAACAAAACAACAAAAAATCTTCAAATAAAATCCGCTTGGGGTAGATAGGTAGTGTAGAAGCATTTTGCATTTTTTTGTTTGTATATAAGTTAATGGTACTATATACACTATGTACATGTATACACATAAAATAAGCGTTAATTTCGAATCAATGAAATTTAAGGGAAGATATTAGAAATGAAATAAATGGAAATAATAGACAATATTAAGGAGAGGAAAAGCTCTTTATTGTTAATCACAATTATTATCGGCGAACTTTTTTACACTTGATCACTTCATAAGAATCTTTATGAGGACGCTTTCTAATGAGAATAGGAGAAGGTCCAAATAGTCTACATGGTAATAAAGGGAGTCTTTTATAAGGAGTTTTTACAATCGGTGTTGAATGTATCGGTTGAAGATGGTGTATTATATTCTATCTCACTTCCATCAGTGAATGTAGTCCAATCGCTCGAATGGTCCGAGAAGTGAAGGATTCACTTAGCTGGGTTGAAGGAGAACTGTCACAAGAGTCAAGGACGATTGTTGAACTCGAACTGATTTCAATGGTTTCTTGGTCTTTAGTAGAAACATTAACTGCTGAAGCTACTGGAGGCATCTCTTCGTCTTTCTTATAGTAGTCCACCATTTGATTTACTGCCAAACCAAGGTATGAAGCGGCTGAGGCCCAATCCTTGTTCTCGGTGATAGAGACTCTAAGGGCATTGAGTAGGTTCACAACATCAACTAAAGGAATAGACCCAGTTAGACTATAAGGGTCTAAGAGAGCTGCCCTTGTCGAAGCATCGAGTGATTGAAGTTCAAGAATATCAGGCTGTTGACTATCGCAGGCTTGAGGTGGAGAAATAGAAGGAGCAGGCATAGCTGAGGGACCAAATATCATGGCGAAAGTCGAGGGCGATAGAGTAAGTTCAGCAAGAGATGACGATAAAGGAGGGATCGAAGACATTGTTGTAAGCAAAGAAAAAAAAGTAAGTTAAGAGAGAGAGTGAGAGTTAGATAGCAAGGGTGAATGAGTAAAGAAGACTGATGATTTTTAACGAAAAAAACTTGGTATTTATGTGGAAAATAGCTCACTCGGACGGTAACGCCTATTGTCATCCACTCACTCTATGGATCTCCTTCCCATAATAAAACAAAAGTTATCTCTCTCAAGACGATAATAATCCTATCTTCCACAGATGGAAAATGACAAGAACCAAACTAAAGAAAATAGTTATAACTCATTTCCTTTGGGAACACAGATGTTCACTATAATCCTTTCCTCCTATCTTCCACTGATGGTAAATGAAAAGAACCAAGATAAAGAAGATAGTTATAACTCTTTTCCTTTGGGAACACAGATGTTCACTATAATCCTAGCAAAGAATGGAGATTTTGAATATAACCCTGAAATATATCAAGCTGCTTACTACATAATTGGTAAATCTAAAGTCTCTGTATTTCATACAGGTAAACTTATATTCACAGGGTTTACCAATAAAACAGACATTGTAAATTCTTTTGATGAAGTCATTATCATTAGTTTATTAATAAAATTATTTTATAATTAAAAAAACGCAATCGATTAATTTCAATCTAAAAATACTCGCGATATTTGTCTTACAAATAGGACATGAATCAAGCTGTGGTGCACACTCTGTGCATGCTTTTGCATGATCACATGGAGTAAATACTGTGCCTACTTCTTTGTCAAGACAAATTTTACATGTATATCGATTCTTGTCCTCAGATGCTTCTGGCAATTCTAGCAAGGGTGTGACCTTAGTTTTTGGTGAATTGATACCATCGATAAAAAGCTGTCCTCTTTTTAAATAAAGAAAAGAGTATTTTGGAAAGAAATATGCATGAACCGTTCAAGCATTGTCGTCCTTCTCCCAATTTGAAATTGTACCGTTGCAGTGTAGAAGAATCCTGCCTCAGCTAATTCATTTGGACTAATTATAGTGTTGGAAGGCCATCCATCAAATGTTGATAGTCTCTTAACTAATGAGCTAAGCTCAGGAGCAACTGGTTTGAAGTTTCTTCTACGTTCACATTATGCAGCAAAAGTTATAAGCCGATTTCGGATGTTGTGTCTTATTGATCTGATGTAACGACGAGCACCCCGAGTAGGAGTTTCATGTCTAACCGCCTCTAAGATCTCACGGTTATTCTGTGATCTTGGGTAATCATCTATTACGTCTTCACCTTCACTTGAACTATGTTCACTGTTTTGAATAGAGGTCTCTTGTATGTGAGATTGATTTTGAGTTGAACTGTGTTGATTACTTACTTCAAACCAACCTCCACGGTTAGGCGTTTCAGTTGGCATGTAAGGTATATTACCACAATCAGAATTTCGCATGAAGGAACAATTTGATGATTGTAACCGATGTTCAATATAATATAAATCCTGAACATTAGATGCATAATGTAGATGGCCACAAAAAATACGCTTGCACTGGCGAGTTACTCCTGTATAGTAATAACCATCACGCGCTAATTCGAAGCGGTTTTCTATCTCACGCCCCCATTCAGATGTAAAGAAGGTTACTATCCGCTGTTCTTCATCTTTCAGATAACTAAGATCAGTCACTGGTGAAAATTTCGGACTAATCATATTGATGTTCACAAGAGAAACTACATAAGCAAGAGTTGATAATGAACTGATTTATTTCGTGACTGACCATCTTGTTTTATACTTCTCACTAAATTACTGCGAATATTATAGAGCGCATCTGCGCATGTGTAGAGGTCATTTTTGAAATCTGCGCATTTTTCTAATACCCACCCCCACTTCAGGTACTCACCCCCAGACAACTTTAAGCTCCGCCCATAACAGGCAATAGACACTATTTACTACTAGAGAGATTAAAAATTTGTTTAAAATTGAAGTTGATGAATCGTAAAAATGTTTGAGTGGCTTAGGATTCGAGTAGCTATCCATAAAGATCTCAAAAAAAGAGATCAAATCCACTATTAGAGCTTGTAAGTATAAATTTTTTTCAATTTACTCATTTTCTCAACAAGCAAGAATCACAATCATTTGTACTAATCATGAAACCTTTATATCTTTATTCTCGTTCTCAAAAAGTATCGATAGATGACCATAAGGATGCTGATTGTTTAGTAGTCTGAATCACTACCTATGTCACTGAGAAAAGTTTATTTGCTAAAGATGAAGAATAAAGCATGTAAAGCAAACATTTTGCGAAAACTTTTCAACGCACATGCATGACTCTCATTGGCAAGGAAACCGAAAACACTTTTATTGATGTGCGTGAATTGTTGCTTGGCATCGTCGTCTCGCTTTTTCTTGGTAAAATTTAGTTTTTTCATTTTCTTGTAATAATGCAACTTTCTGCTCATTAAAATCCATTGAGAATTAGGAGATTTGTGCTAGAGAAAAACATGATCTAGGCTTTGAAATTACATTGAGCTTAAAGCATGATTCAGAAGATTCGCGTTTGCTGAAAAACCTACTGACTCTTCCCATTCCCTTTTAAATCTAAAGGCGCTCAAAAATTACTTGCAGTGTGTCGTATTTTTAAACTGGTGTTCAAGAGATTTTGTCAAGTACCATAACTGTTTTTACTTAAAAATGACCTTCAACTTTATATTTCCATTTCTACCAATTCTTACCGTGCAAAAACTTTCGAAGGTACCTAATATTGGCAATATAGTACAACAAAGTAGAAAATTAAACTGAGTTTCATAATTAGGATTTCAGTTCTATTTGCTTAGACCATAAACTGCACTTGATTGTTATTTAAACTTTTCAGGGATCATTTTTACCAGTAACCGATATCAAAAAGATATTAATACAAAGCTTAGAGACCAATCATGGTGATGATAGCTTGTAGGACAATGGTCATCTTTTTCATATCATCTTATAATATAAGATTTATATGGTAACTTGAAAAGAAACAAGAAGAAATCAGATGCGTTTGATTGAATGATTGGCCTATTATACAATAGTGGCACAGAAAAGATTAAGAAATTGCATAGAATCAAATGAAAAGCTAAGTTGTTGAGAAAAAAGTTCTGAAGTATTCAAGCAGCTAAGGGAAAAGATGAAGAGCAGAAAAATAGGACTAACCGATTTTTTTGTTGCTACATGAGAAAAAATCAGGAAGGGACTTTATGTTATCCATTTAAAGTGTCGATAAATAGCAAATCTACTTGATCATTCTGACAAACATTCATACAGAGAAGAAGATGCAAAAATCAGGAAGATGAAGAATAAAATCAGATAAGATAGATAATGACGATTGGATGATATGTAAGAAAAGACCACTTTCTGATCATTTATCGTTTTGTATTCATTGTTATTTTTTGTTCAACATTCTTCTTAACCTCATGATCCTCAGTTAGTTTTTTTCTTTATCTTTTTTATCATTATCACCACCATCTTTATCCTCACATCATCATCATCACCATAAGTATCTTCCATTGAAGAGAAGAAAAAAAAATTTTATTCAGAATAATAAGAAAATTGAAAATGAAATAAATTCAATCTGTTAATCCATTCTCGATATTGAACTTACATTTAACTCCGAGAAAAATCCGTTTGCTTACAGAATTTGGTATTCCATTTGATGCTATGCATAGATAAACACCCATGTGTTGCCGACGAACTTGACTTAAGTTCAAAAAAGTACCTTGAACGGTTCGAACTGCAAAGAAAAAATGGACAAAAAGGGGTCAAAAACTTAATCATTTCGAAATTGTAAACTATCAAGCCTCTTATTTATATCATTTACGTTCATCATCACGATCAAATTGTTGTGATTCGCAAAAAAAGTATCAATCGATAGTCTAATCCAGGGTAATAGTGTTTTATTTTCCTATCGAAATACTTTTGTGCTGGAATGAACAAATTCCCAAAAGTGATTGTGATAATGTTATCACGTTCATAATGATATTTAGATGGCATAGAAAAATATTACATTTAAATTGTGTTAAAAGGATAAACATTGTTTCATTTGATTGAAAACACGTTCACACTTTTATTATGATATTTATATATAGAGAAGGGTATTCACTGGTTACTTACCATTCTTATTGTCACTAGATGAAGATATTGATGATGGTGATAAGGCATCAATAGATTCTTTATCTTCCCTCCTCCATTCAATCGTAGGTGCAGGGAATCCTCTTGCTGTGCATCGTAAACTTACAGAATCATTTTCATCAACATCAGTATCTGAACTTGTTTGATCCTCAACAAAATAAGGTGGCACTACGAAAGTATTCATGATGATTCAGGATAATTTCGAGAGAGAGAGAGAGAGAGAGAGAGAGAAAAGATTAGTAAAAGTTTGTTCAACATTCTTATGAAACAAATAGATAATCCTTAGGAAAATTCAGTCTACAGTTTATTTGATTAACTTTTTCAAACAAATATTCCACCTTAGTGTCAGGTATCATGGGTTAACCTGAAAACTTTTCCAAGCACAGGGATCAAAGATTATTCAGTTAATTGAATTCGTTAAAAGAACTTTTTATTTCTCTGTCTATTCATAGATTAGATAATCAAATCTTTCTAAAGCGTAAGACTTTGTTTTTGACAGAAAAAGTTTATTGATTATGCTGGATAAAAATTAGAAACGAAATGATTTGAGCCGGATTATAATTAATCAAATGACTAAACGATTAGTAAATTGGGTCAATTCTGAGCGATTTCTAAGTTAAGATCATCTCGATTTCACCCTTTAAATTAGTGTGAAAAAGACTTTCATGTAAAAGTAAAGCAACATGATTAAGTTTCAAGTATTTATGGTTTATTGGCCTCTATTTTTGATTAGAGTAAATGTACAACTTAATTATGATTTAAAAGAGTTGGTGAGCCAATTATCAGAATTGAGAGATGAGAAAGTGTAAAGAAGCGTCAAAGAAAAATTTGAATGAAAGTGAATGAGAAAAAAACATATTAACATGATGAGAATAAGAAAAATTAGTTGTGAAATATTGGAGTGTAAAAAAAGCGTAATAATAAAAAAAGAGAGCAAGACAAAGTGATGATGATGATGATGATGCTTTTCTTAGCATTTCCATTGAAATGCTGAGATAATAATTCATTGCTCATATCATTTTGTATCTGCTGGTCTCTCAATGGTTAAGCTAACTGATCTCATCTGATTTTGCTTATTTCTATTCATAGTATTGTTATCATGTAACAAAGATAACATTTTGATATGGAGATGATTCTTATTACCGAGAGAGGAAAATAAAGGGAGAGAGAGAGAGGAAGATACAAAAAGAGGGTGGTGTAATGTTTTTGCATTTGAAGATGAAGATGAAGATGGAGAGATGGTGAAAGATGATGATGATGATGAAAAGAGGAAAAGTAAAAGATGGAGAATAGGAATATACATAAGAAGGAGAAGCGAAATGTCAGATTAACTTTTTGTTACTTCTCACAACAAAAATCTATCAATCAAACTGAGCCCACAAGATCATTGATCGTTTGTTGTTCAACCCATTTTCTACTCCATTCTAATAGTAGTTAACTAAATTGTGATTCACAATTCACTTTGCAAAACTTAACAATCAACGAGAATAGTGAACAAAAAATTATCAACTTAACATTTTCTAACATAGAGCATTGAATTATTATATTATACCAAAGGGAAAACATTAAATCCATCACCAGAATCATTAATATTATTGCTATTGCAATTACTTATTATCGTTTTCACCACTTTTCAAATTATTGGTAAAACTGTGAGTTTATCATCACCCAAATCAATTGAATTTGTTGATAACAATTAATGGAAATTGATCATTGATAATATAATCAAATTGAAGTTTTTTTCTTCTCCTTTTTTTTTATCTCATTTTGCATTTCCAATATTTTAAATTATTACTTTTCTTTTTTTTCTTTGTTTTCTTCAATAACTTCCTATAAGTTCAGTTGTTCATTTCTTTATGGTTTTATCTCATGTTTTCATTTTCTTGTGATTACATTTGCTCATGTGAAGATAAAATTGAGTGAATTAACTTGAATAGTATGAGATATTAAGGTTCAATGGTAAAATTCATTAGACTCCAATTCGTGGTTAATGGAGAAAAGCATCAAAATTCTGAGCAAGAATTCAAGGTATCAACTGTAGGTATATATAAATATATTCTCATGATAAGATATTAGATGAATACCTTTATCAATATTTTACTTTAACCATCATGAGACGATGCTGCTCATACAATTTTCATTGGAAAATCTTATCTTCATCCTTACTTATCTTATTCTTCATCTTAACCTGAGTAAATAAGTAAATCAGCAGAATGAATCTCAAGACTGACCATAGGTCAGATTAACTTTTACAGATATTTCATCCATGACAAGACATACAGTAAACATTATCATCCTGGGAGTTAAAGATCAAATAATAAGCTACAACTTTTGACCCCTTTTTCTTGCTTTTAATTTGTTTCCGAAAAAAAAACCATCGAAAACATGAACCGGAAATACAATAATGATAATCTTTCAATATCCAATTAGCTTAATCTTGATTAGCACTAACTTGTGATCCTCTAATTCAACTGTCTCTTGAAAAAATTTAACTTCTTTTCGTTGGTGAAGTTAATCTTGTTCATAAATTGTGAGTAACTTTTAGATAATTAGTTTCAAGGCACGATGAGAAATTCCTATTTACTGGGAGTGAATTTTATCTCAAGGAAACGACTAATGTATTAACTTTTTTTTTCTTTTCAACTTTTCAACTGAAACTTTAAGTTCTCAAAATGATGAAGTTTTTTTGCTCTTTCTCTCTACTTTCATGAGTGAAGGTAAAAAGCGACAGAATGTGAGCATCTCATGTTTCAAAATGATAGAAGATGATAAACTTTTTGTTTCTTTTCATGTTGTTTCCTCATCTTCTTGATCTTTGGGAGGGAAAAGAGACTCAACTTGATGACAGATATTATCTTATATCTTTCATTTGATTCAGAACTTTGATGAGCCCAAAGGTGAAAAGTATTGAGAGCTAAACAGATACTTCCAAAAACAACCCTGAAGATTGACAGTTAACCTCAGTAATTATCGGATAACTTTCTCATGTTAATAATTCTGATACAAAGTGAAGCTGAAATTTTGATCAAAATGCTCCAGGCTATTGGCTAATTATGCACCTTCAATAGTACTAAATTAATCCAATAATCAGCTGATTCTGATCTACTTCTAATCATCAAGATAATCAGGTCAGCAATAGGATGAGAAAAATGCTGCTTAAATATGAAAACTTGGAATTGAGTTGGTTTCATTGAGGAAAATGAAATGAAATAAATTCAAATGTCTAATAAGTCAGAAAATAAACTTGCAAATGCCAATGAACTTTTCAGGCTAAATTTATCGTAAATGATTCAACTGTAATTCCAGATTTAAGATAAACAGAAAATTATTTTAAAAGAAACACCCTAAGGTGATTTAAGAGTATAAATCAACTATATAATAGCGAGGGTATTCAAACTGCTTACCCAAGTTAAATACATTGTATTATATTAGCTTAATTCTGATATACGTATCGAGTTGATTTCTGCATCTTGATATCCTAATTTTATCTTCAACAATGTTATCTGAGAATAATATGAAAGTATCCATGGTGAAATAATCTCAACTAAATGTTATCTCTGATGATTTGTTTCTCATGATAGCTGAACATCAGAAATTCTTAGAATCTATAATAAGGTCATTAGAAAGAGTAAAATATTGTTTTCTTTTCTACCAATTTGTTTGATATTTATCGAACTATCCGTCGATAAAAGTGACCTATTCTCTTTCTTTTAAGAATATCAAAAGTGTGAAATAGTGAGAGAAACATTAATGTATTGATATTTGAGCCCTCGAGGGTTTTAGATCATGTAGACTGATGCGATTTGATGATTCGATACACGAAAATATTTTCGTATTTTATCATCTTATCGATGATTCGGTTATTTGATGAACTTCTTGTGAGAGGTGAAAGGTTGTCAGAATTTCTCTCATTGTGATATTTTCTATCTGGTTTATTACTTGAAATGACGATTAGATGACAGACAAATTCAGCTGAGATTATATGAGAAGTTGAAGAATTGAGATGAAATTTTAGAAAAACATGGAGAGATTTATATTGAAATAATGATATCGAAAATTATTATTATAAAAGATGAACTTAAGATATAAAATGTATCATGTTGATGGAATTGGAAAACGAAATGAGTGATTACCAGGGGAGGAAAACGTTGAAATGTTTCCCTGAAAATGAACAGATTGATATGAATGAGCTTTTCCTTGAATTGTATTGTTTGAATTAATTATTGATAATTTTGTGAATAATTCAGTAATCAAATTGTTGATTTCTTATCAAGAATAATCAGTTTTACAGGCGAAATTTTCATTGATTTCACTTAATCTCATGTGTTATACTGGGGAAAAAGTAATTCATGAAAGAGAGAGAGAGAGAGAGAGAGAGAGAGAGTAAATGATTTCATGTTCATGACAAGATTCTTGGAAGTTGATAAATCCTTAATAAATCACTTGATAAGCTGATATACAACATTACCAATGAACTTATCTTAATCCATCAGGGTGAAAGAAAAAGAAACAAATGAAAATGAAAATAGATCAGAATGACTGGATTGATGAAACTGAAAATCTACTTCCTTAGACTGGTCAGTACTACCTTCATGGTAGATACATTCACTCAATCTCATTGTTTTCACTCCAATAAATCAACAGGTTAATCTTCATTCAAAAGAAATGGTCAATTTTTTGTTTCATCCATAATACTGAATACAATTTACTTCAATGCGTATATTAATATTATTCAAGTTGAACAAGTTCATTAAGTTTCATTATGTTGACCATTGAACTTTTCTTATTATTAATAACACTGGTCATCCTTTCCCAGTGTCCAGTCCATTGTCCCATTGAAATTGAGTGTGTTAACATTTTACTACTTGATTCATTTTGGCTTATTACTTGAAACTGAATATCAACTGGTAAGATATGAATCATATTCATTTATCTTTCCAGTTATTGTGGTGACCACTTTTCCGGTATATAACTCATAAAGTCTGATTTTTATCACCAAATGAACAACATGAAATAATAAAAACTTCACAAGATTAATAACTTTTGCATGGAAAATTATTCTGTCAACATGATGATAAATTCAATTAGTCAATACAGATACACTATCACCTAATCTTACTACAACCGAGTTCAAGTTCATTGATAAAAAAGGTCACAACTGAAAGATTTTTAAAACAAAGTTCTGATCAAAGAAATCAGAATCTGATCTAATCTGTTGGATAAATATAATCAACATGATTAAGAAAAAAGCTCAACATGATAAGATATAAGTCCATTAAGTTGAACATCAGTTTTGAGAGAGAAAAAATCAGATAATCACAATTATCGGTGATAAACTATCTCCTAACACCACAATCTATTAATATTACAATTAAACTGATATAAATTGTGGATTAACTAATTGCCACTAGTAATGATTGGAAGGTTATTCATATCGATTATCAGAAAATGAATAAAAGTTTTCTCAAAATGAATCGATAACATGATAAAATTAATAACTCTGATTACTTTTTATTGATAGAAACTCGAACCGTTTAAACATTAGTCCAAAACCGCGAGTGAATATATATAAATTATCAACTGAATTGTTTCAATAATAATAACATGATGATAATATTTATCTATTGGTCTAAGATCACAATAGGAATTATCATATCGATATTTTTATTATTTTGTTCTGTTTAATGTAAATAATAACCATAACCATTAGAGATAATCAAAAAAGTTTAACTTGGGATAAAAGTACAGTGAAAATAAAGGGAAACCAAAAAATTAATGCTTCGGATAAAAAGTATGATAGGATTTTGGTCCAATAAATATAACCATGTATTAGCTTCAATCTAACAAGAGAAACGGATTGCGGAAAGGAAAATGATTAGATTAAAAGATTCATGATGATGGTGATGAAAAGAGATAAAAATCTCAGCATTCTGACTGTTGAACTTTTTACTTTTACTATTATTTCATATATATCAAATTTTTCTCGAACTGGAAAATTGATTTCATGTTAATAAGCCGAAAATTCAAAACTCAAACTCTCAGCTCTTTTCTAATGGTTATCATGATAACTTTTTATCATCTTCTCATGTTATTTATATAACGTCATCTTCTATATATTATGTTAACTTTATGGGAATTACTTCAATTTATGTTTTACATTTCAAAGAATTATATTATTATCATGATGATTATCATCTTGACCATAAGACTGACCAACTTTCTTGTGGCTTTCATGAGATGGAAAAATAGTAGAAAACTTATTAATCAATTAACTTGAAATGAACAATTTCAAATCATTATATTAACCTGATAATTATGTAAATGATTAAGAGATAATCCTGATTCTTATAACCTGATTAACTTTACCAATTACTTTTGGTTGATAATTTGTCATTGTTATCATTGCCTATCAGCAACCAGAGTGATTTATATTAAGGTAATTTGATTATTAAATGAAATGACACACAATCAGAAGGGAAAAGCAATTGATTAATGTAAAAAGTTTGAAAAGTGACATTGATTTGATCATTTGATTAACAATCATAATCAGACCAATTATCTCAATCAATTGTTAACTCTAGTTAACAATGATAATAATGATTATCATCATGAAGACACTTGACTGTCAAAATATTTGATAACCTTTATTATTAAGAACCCAATGTCAATGTAACTAAAGTGAATATCTTCATCTCTCTCTCTCTCTCTCTCTCTCTCTCTCTCTCTCTCTCTCTCTCTCTCTGTTTTGGTTTCTTTATCATCTTATCATCTTCATCCTCATCATATTCCCTTTCAAATCGGTCAATTCTATATGCGATTCAATTGATTAAAGTGAGCCCAATGTTATTTGAACAAGAGTAAAAAGCTTTGAATAGACAGAAGGATAAACAATATAAATACTGTTATTTACTCACAATTTTATTTCTTGTTATTTTTTGTTTTCTTTTTCTCAACAATAGTTCATACTCCTAATAGACGATAACAAGAGAGATAAATATATAAACTCATCAAGTGAGATTTACTTCCGATTTCAATGTTATATGTGATCAAAACCACGTTATCATTTTGTTCCCAATGCTTTAACGCTTCCACTGATTAAGTAAATAACCTAACACTTTGTTAACCATTCAACTGAGAAACTTGATCTTTTAATAAACACAACATTCACTCAATTCTGCTACACTAGTAAATGTGTTGTAACATTGTGTTCATTTGATTGTATCCATAAAAATTTCAACAATTAACCTCAATCACCAATCAGTAATCATATTTAGAGAAAACAACAACAATAACAAATTACACATGATAACATTAACATGACATTTTCTCACACTGATTAATCGCCATGCAGACTGAATTCAACTCTACAGGTAAATATTCAAATAAGAAATTGAAAATTCATCTTACCTGTTACACGGAGGAAAGCGGATTGATCGATTACAGGAGAACTGTTTATTTGGCACATATATTCACCTCTGTCCTCTTCTCTAACTGGATCTAATTTGAGAGAAAATATTTTGTCTGTATGATTCGAGACATCGATTCGACTATTTTTACTAATAACTTCCTTTCCAAGTGCTAATAATGTATGTTTATCCTTGCGAACCCAGGCAACCTTTAGGGATAAAGATAATGAAAAGAAATGAGAGTAAATTGTTAATCCAATTGTTTACATATTTTGTGTTCCTCTGTAAATTAAATTAACCTTTTCTCTTGATTAGATATTCTTGGTGATTGAGATGATAATTCTGATAATGATAATCCTTTTCAAGTTTATCCCTTTACCCTCACTCAAAATGAGCAATTATTAACATTGTAGTTGAAGCTTTCCAATGATTTAATCAAGAGTTATATATACTTGTATTACTTTGTCTGGTTGACCCTCAATCTTTTTAACCGGATATACTGTTTGGAATTGAATTCACCAGAGAGACTCTGAATCTCTAAGATGATAATGATGATAAAGATGAAGAGAGAGAGAGAGAAACATAGTAACCTATTCAGTTACACCTTCCTAAGGCGAGTATCAAATTTATCTGCTTCATCCGATTCTCTAGTTTCCCTGGAACAGATTCAATATTATTTAGTTTAATTTCTTTCCCATCATTCTTATTCTCGAAAAGTCCAATATATACACTTCTTCCTCTTTATCATCATTCTTTCTTTCATCAAGATGATCATCTTCTTCTTTCTTTTATCTTGATTAAGGTTCACCCTTTCCTTACTCATTCACATGTTCTCCCCTCTTTACTTTGATGAATATCGCTAAGCTTAACAAAATCGGCTTAGCGGCTTTGCCTTTCATTTTACTCATATTCTTTCGTCATCTTCTCTAGTACAATCTTCCTACTTTCATCATTCACTCCCTGTCTCTCTTCTTGTAGCATCTTCTTTTTGCATCCTTCTCTCTCTCTCTCTCTCTCTCTCTCTCTCTCTCTCTCTCTCTCTCTCTCTCATTTCTTATTTCCCTCTTTTCATCAAGTAAAGTTGCTCAAGCTATCATATATTCACACAGATATTGTGGCCCAAAGAAACTGTTTGATGCTGTTCATCAATTTAATTTAGCATCAGTAAAATGAAGACGCATACTCATCATGAAAACCCCTCACTCACCCACAAGAAAAAAAAACAACATCAGATGAGGATAAAGTATGTTGGCCCGGGCTAAACCAATTTCCATTTAATAACCAAACATGTTTATGGTTAAAATGAGGGTAAAGAGGATAATGGGGATGGATGAGAATAAAATCAAAGGAAGATGAAAGTAAGATGATTATCAAAGAGGAAAAAAAGAAAGACGAGGAAGATAAAGATATAAAAGAGAGAATGAGATAGAGAGAGAGAGAGAGAGAGAGAGGGTGGAATGGACTCAACTTGGGCTCTTTCAAATGTTGAATCAGTTTCACTTGAAAACTATATCATGATAATAGCTACAGAATCATTGAGAACCTAAACTTGGGATCTTTTTTCCCCTCTTTATCTTTTATTGAATGTCCTTGTCAGAATATCCCCATTCTCATCTTTATCTTCATCTCTCCTTCATCCTCATCTTTAGCTTATCGACTCTTTTCTCTCTCCCTTTCTCCCTCTCTTATTATTCTTATCTATTTACAGAAAAAAATCTTAGAATCATCTCTCTTTTCCTCTTCCTTCCTCCGCTTTTACCATCCATCCAGCTACTCCAACCAACTGATGACTCCATCAGAAAAAACCCTCCACCCAATTTCATATCAACCTAATCACCATCGTTTTTTTTTCACCCAGAAAAGACAGAAAACAACTGAATCAAAATTCCAATTAATATGAACAAGACAAAGAATCACCTTGTTGACATCGTAAAACTCACAATCAAGTAACCAAACAATTGTAGAAAATAATTAATAACAATTAACTCACTTGTCGAGTGCCAAGATTTTCAACTACACATTGAAATTTAACAGGACGTCCAACTTGAACCGTTACATTGGACATTATCTCGGCAAAATAAGGCTTATTATTATAATCTTCATTAGGAAAATCTTTCTCGTTTAGAGAGTTAATCGAGTCGATTGAGTTGTATTCTTTGGCCAGACAGTTATTTGTATCTGCAAACAATTAGATGAAAACACGCAAGAAAATTAGATCAATTCAAAGTAAATGATATCATTTTGATGTCAACAATCAAATTTGCGGTTTGTTTCGCTGATGATAATTAACGATTGATTGGTAAAGATGAATACTAGCACTTTGATATTGTTGGAAAAGTTTAACAATTTCTGGTATGAGAAAGTTTTGTTTCATTTGTAAAGTTATACTCACATGTGAATAAAATAATATTTTGGATGTTTAAAATTAACTGAATGAAAAGTTTTCCACTTTTATGTATCAACATTTTACTTGGACTTTTATGTTCACAAGTATATTGGGGAAAAAGAGAGAAACGGAGATCAAGTCGTTCATCAGATCTGAACAAGATAATGAATAGAAAAATGTTCTAACAGAATCATGACTAACATTTGTTGAGAATACAACTCGAGATGAAATTCTCATCCCATAGAAATGTTGACCGAATATAATTCCATTCGAAACATGAACATCATGACATCTAGTGAATTCCATAAACAATTCACAATTCGATATCATCTCGAAAGAGTTGATCTTTTCTTGTTATTTTTTTCCATTCAGTATCAACATTCATCAGAAAAATTACCCAGCAATAACTGAAAGAACTTTATTCTAATCATATTGTTATTAGTTAACCATAATAACTAATTTGTTTTCTGTCAATCATTTTACCGAAAAGTTTATGGTTTGTTTTCAAATGATAACTTTGACTCAAGAGATTCCATTGACTGTTATCGATCAGTTCGTATGAATGAAATTCCAAGTTTCGGCTCCTTTAACAAAGTAGAGAAAATTTAGAACTCGAAAAGTGACCTGAGAACAAGAAAAAAAAGGCTAATCAAGGGTAATTATCAATCGAATCAATTTATTAGATCGAAAAAGTTGAAGAAAATGTCATCAGATGGCGATACATATTCGAAGGCTGAGAAAATTCGCTCTGCCATCTAGTGGATGATTTAACAACAAATTCTTTCATTTTTTCACCAATTAAACTGAGCATCAAATAAGAAAGAGAAAGTTAATACTAATTGTAATTTATGTAATAAAACGATATGATTTAAAATTTATTTTCTTTCCAATGATTACAATTTTAATCGATTTACAAAGTATAATATTTACCACAAGAAAAGATTTACAGTTTTATGTAAAATAATGTGTCCATTAAATGATTGTCATCATAACAGTATCATAACAATTATTTATAAATTAATACATTCGCTTTTGTTTCAATGACAGAAATTGAGATTTGATTAGTTGGTGAAAAGTTTTTTCTCAAATCCAACTTTTGTTGTTGTTTTTTATTTGTCACAAATTTAATCAAAACTTTATCGATAATCGAGTTGACGATCTGTCATTTAATGTTGATCTACTTTGCGACCTGCTAATCCAATGGTTACTTGGTCCACTAGATAATCTGGAGATCTCTTTTAAAGCAACAACTTCACAATTTTTATCAAATCTATTACCCTGAATGTGAGATTTTGTTGAGCTACTGGTTTCATCATGACAAGTATCCGAAGAGATTAGATAACTTGGTGTATTGAAAAGGATTTGACGAAAAGCATTCTTAAAATCCTGATTACAAAAAGCATATATTAATGGATTAAGAGATGAATTAAGATAACCCAACCATTGAATTCCCGTTTTAACCTCATAAGGAGTTTGACAAGAATCACAATAAGCTTCAACAAGGTAATAAATAAAAAATGGAAGCCAACAAGCACAAAAAACACCCATGATAATACCAAGTGTACGAATCGCTTTTGTCTCAACGAGAAGCTGCTTAGTTTTCCTCCTTAAACGTTTCCCCGAATCAAATAGATCACCAGAATCACGACTTCCACTTGTATTAGATGAATATCCAGTCGAACCCATGGATGAACTTTCCTTAAGTGTATATTCAACCTGCTTAATTTGTCGAGATTGTTCCTCAGCGATAATCAAAATTCTCATGTAAACATAAAGCATAACAATCAATGGAACATAAAATGAAATACTAGAAGATAGAACGGCATAGATTCGATTAACCTGTAGAATAGAAAGAAAAAAGAAAAAAAAATCTCGAATTTAGGTAACCAATTCAATCTATTTCGTCACCAAAAGGTACAAACTTAAACTCCACCATGAGAAAGTTTTCATGATACAATGAACATCGCTCAGGTAAATTAGCTTAAAGTCATTACTATTATTATTATTATCTGAATATAAATATAATCGTAAATACCACAAATCAAATGATTACCATTGATTAAATTGATTTGGGAGATTATCAATCATAAATAATTCACGATTAGTGTTAAATTGTGTAACCATTAATCAGATAAAATTTAACTCATTCCTTTGATACATAAAAGTTATTCATATAATTAATCTCAATTTTCATCTGATTAATTGTTTCATTTGATATTTATTAATATCAAAAAAGAGACTAACATTAATCATCCCATTTATTAGTTTAATTTATTGTATTTTATAAACCAAATCAAAGCTAATTGAGAAATGAAATGATAATCAATGAGAAACAGGTAAAGACTTAGCTACCTGTTTGTTCATGTATTTACATGATGTTCATCTGATCAATTGAGCTTTTCGATAAATTCAATGAAATTTGTATAATAATTATGATAAACCTTTCCAATGATTAAATTTGATTTCAACTTTTTCTTTTTTCAATTATCATTCTCAAAGAATTGTGAACTTTTAATATTTACATTGTGAGTTGCAAATTAAGATTTACCCTGAACTTTAATTTTCCTCTGAGTGATGATGATGAATTTCCAAGGATATAATAATATATATATATATTTGCTATCTCTCAAGTGGAAGAAGAGAAGAAAAAAATAATTCTCTTTTTTTTATTATAAGAAGATTAACATTGTAATAATAAGAAATTAAATACATGAGGAATTAAAGTCTATGACAAGAATTAATTTCCAACAGTGGATTGGGAAAAGAGATGCTAAGAAAATGATAGGTAAACACTCAGGTGAATATTGATGAGGGAAAATGATAGATTGGTTGAATGTCAACGAATTCTCATCATGATTGAATAAAGGGAAGAAATAAAAAAAAAGATAATTATAAATATTAATTGATTTTCTAATGGAAAATCAGTTTTCTTGTTAATCAACTAATCGAATTGATATCTTGCATATCATGAAGCTTTCAATTAATCCATCAATCTATTATTATCATCATCATTATCTTCATAATAATAATCGTGATGATGAACAATAATTATTTGATATTAATTGATGAGAATGATAATATGTTGATGGTCAGTTGTATCGGATGATATTGTCCACTAAATTACTACCAAAATCTGATGGTCATTGATAAATTAAAATCTCTATCTAATGATAGACTCATGATGAGATCAATTTATCATGTTCAATTGTTTAATATTGTTATATTATTATTATTATGTTCAAGAACAGGATAAGAGATTGTGTTTTTGTCTATGAGTATTAGTGGGGTTATCATGATGTTACTGAATAGACTGGAGATCTCAATTGGATTGATAATTTGTTGTTGGTCATTTTATCATTAGAAAATAAGAGAAACAACAAAAAAAAATAAGACGATGATGATGTTTATGATAGAGTTGATGATAATAATGATAAGAGTATGGATGATGAAGATGATGGAGTAAATGAATCGTAAATATATAATATTTTTACCTTAAGTTCACAGTCAGGGAGATGGTCAAATGTTAGGATATTGTTAATGGTTCCAGCATGATACCAACCACTGAATATTGGAACAAATGAAATGGTAATACTGCTTATCCAAATAACGATTATATTGCAATAAAGATTTCGTCTATTCACTGAAGTCTTATATCGAAGAGGATTAGTTATGGCACAATATCTAATATAAATGGAAAGAAACAAGTTAGAAAAGTTAGTAAGTCGAAAAAAAGAAAATAAAAGTAAATTTAACTTTTAATGTTCGAAAACTTTTCAATCAGTTAATTACTTTCGCTTTCTTTTTTTTTCTCACTCTTTAAATTGATCTCATTTCATGGAATCGAATTGTTAATAGTTCGAAGAAAATGCTGATAAAATTATCTTTTAATTTCTTTTAATTTCTTTTTTATTCTAGTTCTTCTTCCTCTTTCTATCTCTTCTTTACCTTCTTAAAGAAAAGACAATCAGAGCGATATAATTGATTGAGATTCTTATAAAAATATATCATCGAACTATTCATTCATGGTGATGAATACAGATTCAAATTATTCGCTCTCATGGTTCTTGAATCAGTTCCAATTAGATAAATCTAATCATTGGCAAGGATTGAAATCTCTCATTATTTGGTTATCATTAATCTGATAATCGATTTTTATGTTGAGAATTTTATTCTTTTTTTATCTTCATCATTCTAAAAGTGAATGAATTTTGTCACCTTATTATTGATGATATTAAATCGCAGTTATTTTCTTTCTATTCATTGTGGTTCATCTGAGTAACATGGTAACATTTCATGTAACATGATTTTTTATCCAGGTAAATATTCATTTCTTTTTTCTTCTTATGTTACTCAACAATTTAAATGTATCTAAATCT